ATGATTCTCCATTCCTCAGAACAGGCAACAGCATTTGGACAGAGGACATCCCCACCTGCCCAATGTGCCGTGGCCAAGAGGAGGAATGGGCAAATGGTTGCAGAGAAAGAGAAACAGGATTTTCTTAGAGTTTAAAACGCCAGAAGACTTTCCACTTTCTTTAATCAAAGAGGCATCAAGGCAGGGAAAAGGGGGTGGTGAAAGAGGTCTTTGGTTACCAAATTCTCCATGAAGGACCACTGGTGTTCTTGCCTTAAGTCCAGCAGCGACTGAAACGGAGGTGGCCTGGCTGCCGAAGCAGAAAAGCCTGCTCTGGAACAGGGAGTTGGCAGCCACCCCCAACACAACACACCATTATCATCTCTCTTCTTTCACCAGCAGTTACTGCCAGAACAGATTGGATCTGGCTGTTTAGAATTATTTTTAGATTGCCACCTTTTCATTAAAGCTTCACATTTGGTTGTTAGTTAGCCTGGCAAAAGGCATGGGCAGGATTGTGGTAGACAGCCAAGAAACAGCCATTCAACATGGGAGGGGTCAGCACCTGAGAGACACATGAGATGGAGGTGGGGCAACCTCTGAAGAGCAAGTTTAAGTCTCAGGAAAACAACAGTTAGATACAATGCAATCGTTGTGCTCACATCTTGGATAGCAAGCTAAGTTCCTATTCCAAAGACTTTATATGATGGTTGGGTTCACACAACATGCTAAACCAGGCTAACGAGACATAACTTTGTTCACAGAAGAAACCTTATTATGGCTTGATAGGATGGCAAGATTCACACCAATTGCTAAGACAATATGCTGATCTGCAGACTACTCAACCCCATTTTGGCCAGCCAGCGTGCTGTGTGAGCCGAGCGAGTGTATAAGACGCTCATCTCCATTTCTGAAAGAGGAAACATGTGACCAAGTGCACCGCTACATTGTACATGTCTTTTATTTAGAGCGATATGGACAACCATCTGCTGGCCAAAAGGTTCTGCTCTGCCCTTCACATTAGCAGGAAATGCTGCACGCAGCACAAGTATGACTAAGGCTGGTCACCTAGTCTCCATCTTCTCCATTATACTAAAGGCAGTACATGAAAATCTCAATTGACCAAACCCATGACAGGTGGTGGACATCAGTATATGTGGGTCCATTTGGTGATGACCATCACCTGTGGAAGATTGCAACTTGGAATATAAGAATATAAACGGTCAAGGATATGAATGAATGAATGAATGAATGAATGAATGAATGAATGAATGAATGAATGAATAAATGAAATGAAATGAAATGAAATGAAATGAAATAAAAATAGATATGCTGCATGTCTGTGAAACAGAAGGAGGAAGGATGTAATAGACCCGAATGAGAGTAAGTTGATCTTGTGGAGTACATTTACAGTATTTACTCTATTTGTATACCACTGAATTAAAAAGATTCACAGCAGCTTACAGTCATCCAATAAAATGTACAGCCAATTAATATGTCCACAGGTAAACATCATTAAAATAAAAAAAACCTGTAAGATAATGACGATGATGATAAATGCCAAATCCAGTCTAAACATCTGGTTGATTGTGCAACCAACCATAATAATAATAACAGAAAAA